TGAATTGAATTAACATAGACTCTGTGTAGGTAGAGAGGAGGAGAGTTTAACGGATATTAAAGAGAAAACAGAGATCCAGGTAATAAAGAAACCAGAAAGGTGCTTCAGAAAGAGAAACGACAGAGAAGAGGAGGCATAAAAACACTGTTTGGAGGTTTTCTGGGGATGCTTCTGCATCAGTTTCTACAGAAAGATAAAGGTTTATACATTATATTGACTTTTTTTTGTATCACAGAGCTCGGTGGCGAAAAGAATCCGATACTTTTTTAACAAGTGTTGAACAAACAAGGGAGGAGAACTGATGGGATAGGATGCAAACACACATCTGCTAGTTTTATTTGTCAGCACAGAAGTCTTAATATAGATTCACTGTTGGCTAAAACATCAAGAAAAGGCCAACAAATCTGGTCTCTTTGGCTCCATGACCACACAATCCCGGCGTGTTGTTGTTTATTTGACATGGCGTGACATGAGCTGAAAGCTCATTTAAGAGTCTGCAATACTCATCTTTGACCAAATAATTAAGAATTTGGGTTGCATTTACTTCTGACCTGTTAATCCGTTCGCCAGAAATAGGGATTGGGAACCTTTTTCCAGTCAAAATGTCCCATCCGTGCACACAAATGAGGTCAAAAGAGGAGGAAGCCGACACTATTCGTCAAACCACTGGGTCATTAACATCTGTATCCAGGGGGGAGGAAAAGGGACAAAAACACTGACCTGAATGTCATCAAGTCCGTGACGGTGCAATCTATTAGAGAAATAACAACCTCCTTTTCTGGGAGTGGGCGTCTGGTTTTCTGAGTCCAAAGGAAAGACGCAGTACTGACAATTCTGCTTTCAAGGGCTGACGAGGGCCTACTGGAGATTAAGCTAAATCTGTATTCAGTTCTTTGAAAATCAAACACAATCCCTTTTTCGTTTCCACTGTACGGGGGACATTAACCTACACACAGAGTGTGTAAATCCTCTTTCTTGCAGATTTCACCTTTTGTTTTAGTCCCTGAAAGCTGCAGATGTGCCACAGATGTGTCGCAAGACATTACAGAGCAGCTCGGGATGGTAAAAGGGGATTTAGTCAGAAATACAACCCGAAAAGAAGATGCTGGAAATCCTGTCACAATTAGCATAATAGCCCAGTGGTAAGCACAGGTTAGAGCGGGAAAAATAGCTGCAACAGGCTAATCTGTGTCTAGCTAAGGCTTGCTAACCCTTTTTTCTGAGGTAAAGTAGTAATGGTAAATTTTTTAACCCTTTAAAGCCTGATCCAAGAATAAAACAAATCAGAAACTTACTTTTTTTTTGTTTTAAGTCTATATTTGTCCTTTTAACAAAATATGTAAAAAGAAAAAACAGAAATACAGTTTTGATATTAATAACTTAGTACTATGGGATAAGTCAAGTTTATTTTTTGTGTAGTCTTCTGCCCCCTGTTATCAGGTGTATCTGATTGTGTACAATAGGATTTTAAGCAAAGTTTTTACCATTAAATTATGCAAAAGGTGTCAGACGCAAAACTTTTCAGAAACCGTACATACCAAATACGACACATTTGCCATTTTAGGGTTAAAACTATTCTATCCGTTTGTGCTATCCATGAATGGTAAAGAAAAAAGGATGCATTTGCAAGAATTCAATCTTCTTGCATTTGCCCCACTGTGAGGAAAACATTTTATTCCTTCTTGTATTGTCAAAGCAAACAGGACATCTGGTTATTCACAATTTGTAAAGATGGCAATTAAACAAATTATTCTCTGTGCGAAAAAGTGTCTTCTACCACCACCGAGGGCCATTCGTGCAATAGGGAGGCAATCCTGCCGTTTTCACAGTTTAAAGCCGCCCACAACAGAAACAGATAAAAATACATCAAAAACAGGGATTAAAGAATCTGCCGACACCCCTAAATCCTCCGAACTCCATCAAAGGACGAGCGTGCTTAAATAAGGTGACACACATGACACGTGGAGACTGCCGTGATTGGTTTACTACTCTATTTCTGCTTTGGTGGGGAGGAGAAATTAGATGTCAGTGAACTGTGGCATGAAGGAAAAGTGACTGGTGGCTTTTGTTGTCTTTCTAAAACCACAGGAGCCTAAAAAAATGTTTAAAAAAGTAGCGAAGCGCTCAGAATGGTGAAAAGTAGGATGAAACGCACATATATTTGAGATGAGAATTGTGTCATTATTAACCCTTTAAAGCCCGATCCAAGAAAAAAATAGGAAGAATATTGGATTTTTTTTTTGTCTGAAGTCTTTCTTTGGCCCCCCAATAACATATGAAGAAAAAAAACTGAAATTATTTTGAGCAAATTAGCGTGCAATAAGTAAAAAATTTATTTTGGTGTACTCTTCTACTGGCTGTTATCAGGTATATCTGAATGTGTACAACAGGGGTTTGAGCAAAGCTTTTACCACTGAATGATGCAAAAAGTCTCAGATCCAAAAGACTTCAGAAACCGTAT